ACAATATAGTGATTCAATAATCCTATATTCTCAGTGCTCATCATAAGCATCTCCATCACCTATTTCACCCAACCTCCCCCACCCCCATCTTTGTTAACTTATCAGTTTCTTCTCTATATTTATTTTTTTTGTTCTCTATATTTAGATTAAATAATGAGAACAGAATTTGTGACCATGAAGTTTCAATGTTTCATTACATTTTTACAATCAGAAGTGTTTAAAAATATTCAAACTCCTCATTCCTAGGTGAGAGCAGAAACTGACAAAATCAAGGAATAAAAAATGACAGACTGTCTTATAAGTGATTTTAGATGTTGCTATATTTTGTGTCAGAAATCAGTTACTCCTTTGGAGATCACACATAATTACTCAAAGCTCAACCTCTGGTAGGCTTCCCAATTTAACCAAACAAATTATTATAATCTCCATATAGCTAAAGATATAAAGAGTGATGTCCCTATGTGTTTAATGCAATTCAAAGAAATATGCTCCAAAGAATCAGGTTAGATTTTAAACAGAGTAGAAAATATAAAAACCAAATGCGTTTCAGTGCAGGTGGTGATGGGAAAGAGCCCATCCCACTTCAGGGGCAAGAAGAGACTGAGATCAGGGGCCAGAGTCAGGAGTGAAGGGGCTGTTGCTCAGACAGTGCCAAGAAATTCCTGGTAAGCTCAGGTGTTATCCTACCACACAGCAAAATTAATTTGTGATATTGAGAAAGAAAGCTTGTCCTTCTTTTACTGAGAACTAAGTGCTTGGCAGGACTGTGTTGGCACAATGGCTGTTATGTGCTTTTCCACCCACCTCCTGGAATGCCTGAGCTTCCTACCTTCTGAGGCACTAATGGTTTGCCCATGCGAAGTCCATACCCTAAGCATGTGAGGATAGAAAAAAATCAACTCAATAACCGAAGGACCAGAGCCCATTTCTGCAAACTTGGGGGGTCAGCCAGGAGTAAGACAGAGCCCCCAAATTACCACTGCCTCTACCACTGAAGTAAAGATACAGAAAATCTCTGACAGCCTGATGCCTTCATGCACTGTCTGAAGTCAGGATCAGTGCTCCCAAGTATTGCTAATGGATGTTCCCCTTTGACTCAGCCCATTGATATCTCTTACTCCAAGAATACCAAGCTTGCCCAAGGAAAAGGGGATACACTATTTCATTAAGTATTTAATAATAAATCGAGATAATTAATTAGATACCTTTCAGCAGCATACTATCCATAAATCTGATGTGTCCCTTGCTAATGGTACCAAGAATAATCAAAGTGTAAAGTCTATAGCATATAGACAAGCAGTACTCCTGGGAATATTTGTATTTTTCACCAGACTAGTTAAGAGCATACACTTTAAAAGCCATTAATGTACACAAAAACACACATATAAGGATGTATATATTCCTTAAGTGAAAGGCTAAAAACAAATATAAATTTCTATCTATAGGTAAATGGTTAAATAAAATGTAGTATACTTTGTAACGGGAATACTATAAAAGGGAAAAAAAAAGGATAGGCCTATCTTTACTAACTGAAAAAAATCAAGTTGCAAAACAAGCACTTTATCATTTATGTTAACAAACATAAAATCACTGTACAGATATACATATAAGTATGTAAAAACAGAAAAAGTCTGAAAGGTTACAACACCAATCTTATTAACAACAGAGCTATAAATTACTAAGATATTTACCAAAGAGGGAAAATGTACAAAGAACAAGCAGGAATAGTTAACTACCAAATATCATTTTTACCTATTGAACTACTTAATGTCATTTTGACAAGTATAAAAGAAAACTATCAGTTCATTGCTGTAATTCATATAATTTTTCTAAGAGTTAACAATGTTTATCAATAGCCTTAAAAAGATGCATTCTTTTAAAATCAGAATTACCAGGAATGCCTGGGTGGCTCAGTCAAGTGTCTGCCTTTGGCTCAGGTCCTGTTCCCTGGGATTACCACGCATCTCAGCAGGGAGTCTGCTTCTGGCTCTGCCCCTCCCCCAGCCTGTGCACACATGCTTGCGCGCGTGCTCTCTCTCTCAAATAAATAAACTCTTAAAAAAATAAATAATAAAAAATAGAATTACCATATGATCCAGTAATTCCACTACTGGGTATCTACCCAAAGAAAAAACACTAATTTGAAAGATGTACTCCTATGTTTATTGCAGCATTACTTGCAATAGCCAAGATATGGAAGCAACCCAAGTGTCTATCCATAAATGAATGTATAAAGAAGATGTGATATATATACACAACGGAATATTACTCGGCCATAAAAAAGAATATTTCTTTCTGTGACAACATGGATGGACCTAGAGAGTTGCTAAGTGAAATAAGCCAGAGAAAGACGAATACCGTATAATTTCACTTATACGTGGAACTGAAGAAACAAAACAATCAAACAAACAGACAAAAGAACAGATTCTTTTTTTTTTTTTTAAGATTTTATTTATTTATTTATTTGATAGCGAGAGAGAAACAGCATGAGAGGGGATAGGGTCAGAGGGAGAAGCAGGCTCCCCGCCGAGCCGGGAGCCCGATGCGGGACTCGATCCCGGGACTCCAGGATCATGACCTGAGCCGAAGGCAGTCGCTTAACCAACTGAGCCACCCAGGCGCCCAAGAACAGATTCTTAAATACAGAGAACTAGTAGTTACCAGAGGGGAGGAAGGTGGGAGGACAGGTGAAATAAAGGGGACTAAGAGTACATTTAATGTGATAAGCACTAAGTAATGTTAGAATCGCTAAATCATATCATACACCTGAAACTAAAAGAACACTGTATGTTAATAATACTTCAATACAGAAAAAATAAACATTCTTTATCTAGAAATGTACTTGTGAGATCTACTCAAAAGAAAGAGATATGGAAAACTATGTAAGTACAAGGATGTTCACCACACTGATTTCGTAACAGTGAAAAATTAGGAACATCTAACTGCTATCTACAGTCTAAATGTCTGTGTACCCCCCAAATTCATATGTTGAAATCCTAATGCCCAATGTGATGGATTTGGAAGGTGGGGCTTTGGGGAAGTGCTAAGTCAGAAGACCAAAGCCCTCATGAATGGATCAGTGCTCTTTTTTTTTTTAAGATTTTATTTATTCATTCAAGACACAGAGATAGAGAGAGAGAGCGCACGAGCAGGGGAAGAGGCAGAGGGAGAAGCAGGCTCCCTGTTGAGCCAGGAGCCTGACGTGGGGCTCGATCCCAGGACCCTGGGATCATGACCCGAGCCAAAGGCAGACGCTTAAGCATCGGAGCCACCCAGGAACCCCAGATCAGTGCTCTTCTAAAAGAGATCCCAGACCCTAGCCCTTTCCACCATGTGAAGACACTGGCAAAAAGGCACTATGAGCCAGAAAGCCCTTACCAAGTACCAAATCTGCCGACTCCATGATCCTGGACTTCCCAGAATTAAATTTCTGAGTTTACAAGCTACCCAGTCTGTGTGGACTAAGGCACCAACCACAGAGGATTTGTTCAGTAACTATAGTCCAGCCATATAAAGATTATCTCAGAGCCTTAAAATCAGATTGTATATAAAACTGGTGAAATCTGAGTAAGTTCTGTGGATTGTACCAATATCAATCTGCTAGTTTTATACAACATACTATAGTTATGGCAAGGTGTTACTACTGGGGGAAACTGGGCATAAAAGTACATGACACCACCCTGTGTTTTTTTGGCAACTTGTGAATCTGTAATTATTTCAAAATAAAATTTTTATAAATGGGGGAAAATATTGTAGAAGCATTGAAAGCATTCATGGAAACTTGGAAAAAAGGCAAGCTGCTACCTTATTACAGAAATTTTGAATTTTGTGAAATAACGCACAAGCGCAGAAAAGACTGGAGAGACAAAATCAGTGTTATGACTGGTTATCTCTAAGCAGTAGCATTTTTTATTTTCATTTTTGTACTTTTCTGTATTTTCATATAATTAACAATTGCTTTCACAATCAGTAAATATATAATGAAACATTTAAGATCCAAATTAAGAGACACATCAACTGGGAAAATCATTCTAGGCAAGTGATATAAGACTTGCCTTCAAAGAAGATAAGAAAAGCACAAACAAAAAGCCAATTCACAATTAATAAACATGGAAAAACGTTCAATCACCTTAGTCACTGAAGAAATGCAAAATAAATCAATTATTTCATTTTAACCTATATGGTGAACTTTTATAAATTAGAATGCCGGATGATGACAAAGATGCAGTAAACTGGGCAACAATACTGTCCTAAACACTTCTGAAAGCAATCTGTCAATAGACATGTTGGTATGAAAAACTTTTAAAATGTTCACTCTTTGACCTACTGCAGTAAAATTTAACCTAAAAGCTTTCTACAAGAGTGTCCTGTATCGAATTACTCCACATAAAGAAAAATTGGAAACGAAAACATCCAACAAAAAAGTTGTGTTTTTCTATGATAAATAGTCTTTAAAATGACACAATAATGAATCTGACAAGACAGTTTAACTACAACAAAGGCTTATTTTTCTCATTTAAATTCTCAATAACCATGTTCGATTAATTTTGTTTAGGATTTAATAATGAATTCCATCAAAATCCTTATCTCTTCCACAGAACTAGAAGTAAGCCCCTGAGGCTACACAGTTACATAAAACACCTGTTAAAGGATGTAAACTGTCCAAGTGCACTCTGAAACCAGCTGCCAAAACCACCACAAAAATATCCAAATTGTCAGTCCATAAAACAGATCAATCACCACCTCTGTATCTAAGCAATATATGTCATCACCAAATAAGCCAAAAGCAGTCTTCATTATTGGTCCATTTTATGCCAGTTCCTATGTGGGGAGTGATATAAATGAAAGGAAAAAAGAGAGATATCAAGTTCCTGGCAAAACGATACCCTCTGGTCACAAAAGACAACAGTTTTAAGGTAAAAGAACCAAGTCAGAAAAAAGTCATCATGAATATGGTGAAACTATCTCTTTGGTCATATCTAACCATTTGTTTTACTTACCTATTTACTATCAGAAACAGAAATCCCAAGCCACTTAACCCTACAAATGCTGAAAAACAAAGTGTATAAATTAATTAAAGTTATTTGCCTCATGGCAAATCAATCATCCAGGTTTAATTTTTACATCTCCAATATTGAGAGGAACACCAAATCACAAGTACTTATAAAAAAAAAGAAAGACACAAAACAAACACCTGTCATTTCATCTAGGATAAAACTTCAGGATTCTACTAAAAGATGCTTAGGGGTATTTCATGAAAACAAAAATGAAAATTAAACTGGGAATTTTTCACCCATTCTGACAGGGAAGAATAACAACTAACATTTATGGAACACTTAATTCACCTTCATAACAACTTCAGTTAAATACTACTATCATCCACATTTTGCAGATAAGAAAAATGTTACTGGTGGAGCGTGTGACTCTTGATCTTGGGATTGTTGAGTTCCAGCCCCACAATGGGTGTAGAGATTACTTAAAAATAAAATCTTAAAAAAATTTTTAAAAAGTTACTTTACCCAAAGGTAATGTGCCCAATATTGCAAAGCTAATAAGGCAGAGGCAGAATTTGAATCTAGGCAGTTGGGAGTCTGCCAATACAATTTTACAGTGGTTCTTAACCACTACACTACAGTTACCTTAAAGTTTTAAGACAACCAGTTATTAAAAAAAAAAAAAAAAAGATAACCAGTTACATACCATTTAAGGAATATTATAAATCTCCTCACCAAGCCAAATGGTCCCTGGCTCAGTTCTGCCTAGAGTGGTTAATAATCCAGAAAAAACTGGGTATGCCACCAGATAACTAGGGTCCTCAGAGCAGGTCAATTCAGCTCTGCACTGATTTCTATCTCAGGGCCAAGGTACTTTTCTATCCTAGGGCCATAGCTAATTTTCAATTAAATAAAAAAGATAATATTCATGGCAGTTTATGCAATAAAATTTACCCTCTATCACAAGCACTTATCTTTATCTGAATTATTTTGTCAGCAAGCTCCACAATGGCAATGACCTTATGTATGGTTTACTGCTCTCTAAGCACCCTGAACAGTGACTAGCACACAGGAGGCCAACAAATAACATTTTTTAAATGAATCAATGGATGAACAAATGCTATATGAGTGTTTCTCAAACTTTACTGTGCATAGGGAGAAAAAAAAAGAATCATCTAGGGATCTTGCTAAAATGCAGATTCTGATTCAGCAGTTCAGGGACAGAGGCTAAGAGTATTCTAAGAAGCCCCTGGGTAACTAAGTTTGCTGCTGGTCTACGGCTCACACTGAATAGCAAGGTAACTGGACCACCCGAAGTCATTTCCCCCAAACTCTTCAAGTAGTCAAGAATCAGGATTCACTTACTCTCCACTGTGGAAGAAAATCTGAAGTTTATTCATCAATAAAGCTATTACTGCTGATCCTCTGGTATCAGAAGGAAAGACTTATATCCCCAAATTCCCACCACACCTCAGTTAGATGGCATCTATTGACTGTTTAAAAACAAAAAAACAAAACAAAACAGGCTTCCATAGATTAATGGCTTAGCTTTTCGGGGGGGCATCAAGGATCACTCTGAAAATATAATCAGAACTACAAACTTCTCCCTAAAAAGTTCTATAGGAGATTCATGAACTCCCTTATTAAAATTAAGAACTCTATTGGTATTTAGCATTTAAGTAATTTAAATAGTCCTCAACATACTGAGTCATTTTACTCCAAACTGTCCATCTGATAAAGCCAATAGCTAACTATACAAATGAAATTTAAAAAAATTCCAACTTCAAATCGGTATTAAATATGAAAATAATCCTTTTCAGAAATGTGTATAGTCAAGTCAGCAAACTGTTATTTTTAAATAAAAATGACCAGAAAACTAAGATGAGATTGTCTTTCCTAAGTGTATATGAAAGCAGCAGCTCACATGTAGTATTTATTACGCACCAGATACTATTTGAAGTACTTTATGTTAACTATCTTCTTAACAATCTTATGTAAGACAAATTAATATTATCCTCATATGTTATTAGTATTATCCTCAATTTATACATAAGAAAACTGAGAAGCAGAGGTGAAACAACTTGCTCAAGGTCATAACAAATAGAAAGGGGCTGAGCCTGCCCCCAGTTCTTAACCACTCTTTTGTGCAACCCTGTATATAAATGTATCTTATCATTATTACTCAATCACTGCCCCATTTTTTTCCTTTACCTAACTCAAAAGGCTAGAATAATCCTATATTTCTCTTACCTTGCTTAACTGCAAATTTTTGTAAATTCCAGAAATTTAATTTCTAATAGCTAATTCAACAACAAATATTTTAGCACCAACTTATGTGCACTGTTAGTGATACGGGGAAAAATACTGCCAATAAGCATACAGTCTCTTCTGAAAAATTGAAAGTTATACAAATCAGGACATTTTTGAGCATGAAACAAGATGGGACATCTGTTCCAGAAAAGAGGTGTACACTATAACTATCTGGGACAAAATGGGATGTATGATCACACTAACCTATTTCGTAGTTTGCAATATGTAGTGGTATGAAGTACTGGCCACCTATGTACAACACAAACCCTGGATTACTCCTGACTTTGTTTTGACACACAAAATGCTTTTCTCTTCCCTCAATAATACATAAACCAAACAAAACTTAACTCCTCATCCTTGGAGTCTGGCTTTAAGTCTACACTTCATATTCTACCCCTAGCAATATTCATCTAAAGTACTCCTCTGAAAAAAGAAAAAGAAAGAAAGAGAACTCCGCTGTCTTTGGTTTAGAGTCAGTCATTTATAAATACAGAGATATTTTCTGACCAAAGTTTGGCTCAAAAGTTTGGCTCTATTCCAAGAAACAGACAAGAGAAGACACATGAGTAAGTGATACTCAAAAGTTTCTTTTTCTTACATTTACCTATACGTGCACATTAGAAAAAATTTTCTTCGTAAAAGAGGAAATATAAATCTATTTGCATTTTATCATTTGTATTCCTTTAAATCTTGCATATAAATGAGTCTGTATTTTAACATACTGAAATCTTCCTTCTTGTTTTATAAGTTTTATTTGCCCAATTAAAAGTATACTCTTAAGCTATAAAAAATTTAAAATAAGGTAATTAACCCGTTTGGCTTACCCAAAATCAGGGTAAATTAGTAACAAGGCTCAGATTAGAACTCAAAAAGGTATACATATCTCTCTCTCTTCTTTTTTTAAGGTATATATCTCTTAAATCAGTGCTATCTCACAGTAGTTTTTGCAATTACCAGTGCCATTATGATGTAGTTTTAATAAATTTTCCAAAAATGTTCAACAAAACAGGCACAAATTACAGTCATTTTGGAAGGCTACTATTTATATACTGGACAATTTACACCACAACAGAGTTGCCATGATGACCAAATGATAGTTGTCGTTTAAGCTCTTCTCTAGACTGTGTTAAAAGGCTTAATACATAAACATCATAAACAGCATAAACATCAAGAACACAAACTAACTTTGTCAGAAGAAATTATTATTCCCAAATTACAGATAGGAACTTGAGGTTCCAAAAAGCTGTCACTTGTCTAAGGTCATACAACTAACATTTGAACCCAGGATTCCAAAGTCCTTAGAGAAAATCACAGTGCATAATGCAAAAGTTTATAATGTTTTCAAGACTGGAAACCTGCCTCAAGAACTAAACATTAAAGAAAAAATTTAAGCAAAATACAGAATATAGAAACAATAAAAGAAAATGCTGTGAACACCATCAGAGCTAAAGAGTCATTTTCCATTTTCACTTAAGGATCTTCAAAGAGGTTAAAAATCTTTAATGACTTCACAATGATAGCTGTATTATAGTTTCTCAACTTCCTCTGCTTTCCGCTCCTCTGCAATATAGACTCAGACCCCATTTCAACTACAGGGTCAAAATCTTTTCTTAAGCTCCTAGGTAGTGGGGCGCCCAGGTGGCTCAGCCGTTAAGCGTCTGCCTTCGGCTCAGGGTCATGATCTCAGGGTCCTGGGATGGAGCCCCGCATCGGGCTCCCTGCTCAGTGGGAAGCCTGCTTCTCCCTCTCCCACTCCCTCTGCTTGTGTTCCCTCTCTCGCTGTGTCTCTCTCTGCCAAATAAATAAAATCTTAAAAAAAAAAAAAAAAAAAGCTCCTAGGTAGAAAATCAAAATTACAGATTTGAAATGTTCATGACTACTATCAAGGATCATTTCCATTACCTGGGAAGTAATATGGAAGTAATACGGATATGCCTGATAGCCCAAACAAACCCAAACTGATACAAAATAGTTGAATATCAATATTCCTGGCTTCTGGTTTTTCAGAAAACTGTAAACCAGTTCACTATAATTTGAAGCACCAAAAGGTACTTTTACATCTCTATGCTCATTTCTAAGCATTTTAGTCTACTTTTCACATTTCAAAGATAATTCCTACTTCATTCTCAGTCCATTGCATCTGAAAATATTTCTACTTGAAAATATTTTTATTCATTTTTAAATTCTGCATCTACCTCCAATAAATATTACAAAATCACATTGTTCAGAAACTGCTATTCACTTATTTATAATTTCTCTTGGCAATCATTTCACAATTTGTTTAGGCACTTTCTTCTTCTAAGTCACTTTTTATTTTCTTAATTAATTTATTTTTTAAAGATTTTATTTATTTGACAGAGAGAGCACAAGCAGAGGGAGAGAGGAGGAGAAGCAGGCTCCCTGCTGAGCAAGGAGCCCGATGTGGGACTAGATCCCAGGACCTTGGGATCATGACCCAGGCCGAAGGCAGCTGCTTAACCGAATGAGCAGGCGTCCCTCTAAGTCATTTTTTTAAAAAATCATTTTCACTCAGTGACATCTATTAACATTTTACAAATAAATTATTTAAGAGTCTCATGCTCTACCGACTGAGCTAGCCGGGCACCTTACAAATAAATTATTTAAATGGGAAAAACCAGTACTATATTTGGGGTGAAAGGCACAATGTTATGATTACTATAATATAAATGATTTCAGATTCTAAGGTTAATCTAAAATTTAAAATATTACCTAAAAAAGCAGAAAACTTTAGAAGTCAAATAAATTATTTTAAAAATTATGTAAGAGCTGGGGGAAGAAGGGAATGGGCAGTTATTGTTTAATGCACACAGTTTCAGTTTTGCAAGATGAAGAGTTCTGGATGTGGATAGTGGTGATGTTGCACAACAATGTAAAAGTACTGGGCGCCTGGGTGGCTCAGTTGGTTAAGCGACTGCCTCCGGCTCAGGTCATGATCCTGGAGTCCCGGGATCGAGTCCCGCATCGGGCTCCCTGCTCGGCGGGGAGCCTGCTTCTCCCTCTGACCCTCCCCCCT